GATCAGTAATCCTGGCCTCCAGAGCTGCAAATATGCTACATTTGTTACAGATATCATTACTGCTAAAGGAGGCCGAGGAGTAACTAAACATCTGACACAATGAGCAAGAAAGTGCAGAAGGGACAGGTGAAGTAGCCATGGTGCTAACGGGTCGGCTACGAGCTAAGCTAGCCAAGTATCACCAAGTATCTCAAAAGAGATAAGTTAATTCTCCCCAAAAAGAGAACTCTAGCTAAAATCAACTCCGTCCACATGTAAACCCAAAAAACAAAGTCAAACGCTGCCAAGAACATGCCAAATCCTAACCGTGTAGAAATGTTGGCGAATCAGAAGTCTAGAAGCCTGGGAGGGAAAGCGGAAACAGGTTTGTTAAGTACTTCTGAAAAGCTTTGGGGGTTTTCTGGAAAAACCAGCTAATTTTGTGTTACTTTTTAAGTGCCTTCACCATTTCAAATGTTAATAACTAAAGACAGTATTTTGGCTGGTGTAGACTCACAACTTAGGAAAGAACAAAATGCATACAGCATACATGAGTTTCATTTAAAAAAAGAAATGTATTCAAAACCGACGTGGGGATTTGGGTTTTGAGAGCGTCTGTGTTGAATATAGAAGCCACGACGAAAGTTCACCCTGACTCCTTTGTCTTTCTAAATAGAGGGACAGTGTGTGTAACTGCGTGTAAAAACTGCAGGTAGTAAGATTAAAAGCAACACTATTTTGCCTATATCCGCATGTGGGGAAGTAGAACTTCATCTCATGTAAAAAATAACGTGGCGCACAGCGTGACGTCAAAAACGGCGCACAAATTTGACATAAGTAATTAAATCTCCGTTTTCCTTGACCACGCCTAACCGCAAAACAAGCGTTGCGGTTTCGAACATCTCCGCCGTGGCAGGTATTTTTTAAAATCTAAACACAGGGATACAAGTATAAAGCACCATCTACGTTGCAGTGAGGACGTCAAGGGTGAGTAATGGATGGCACCTCTCACGCCACAAGTGGCCTGACTTTAGCCATATTGTTTTGTTAAGCTACTAGAGCAACATAGTTGCAGTGAATCTTGCTCTTTTAATTAGCGTCTGGAAAGTGTTTTAATTTCAGGTCTGGTGGTATCAAGGGCGTAGATTTGGTTTTGGCATTGGTGGGGACTGATGATTCAACCACCGAACTCTGCCTTGTTTCTTTTTTTTTTTCTTTCCTTTTTGTCTTTGCTTCTTGAAAAAAAAAGAGAAATATACTTGCCTACATATCCTATTCTACATGCTTTTAAACCATTTAAAATTACAATTCATAGTTTTATATGTGAATTATATATGTTAAACTACTATTAAGCAAATTACTAAGTATTTTAGACTTTAGTTTACTTCAGCCATATTCCATATAAATCAAATATCATACAAAAATAAAAATAGCTTCAAATACAGTCATGACAATAAAAGAATATGACTTTAAGGACTTAACAACATTACTTCAGTTATTGTACACCAACATCTCTTATACATTAGCACTAAGGGAACACTGAATGACCTGGTGGTTTTTGTCCATAAAACTACTCATCTAAGATTTCCACAAAGTAAAAGATCTCTCAGCAAAATTAAGCCACATTTTAGGCACTATTGCCCCCATCAAATCAGTGAGCTGGGATTTTTTTTAATTCTAAACATAAACTACTGTTACAGCAACAGACATGGACTACTAGTGCCCCCACACAACAACTCAATGTCCACTATGTGAAGGAGCCAAACACATGCTTTCTCCTCTCGTTAACTGAGATAAACTGCTGGCATATTTGTTTTACATCTATACTGTCCAGTCTCTCCTGGTAGACATGGCAACACGTTATTCATGGTTACATACAATTTTAGACTGATGTGGGCCAAAGCCCAGCACATACTTGCCAACCTTGAGACCTCAGAATTAGGGAGACCATCAAAAGGACTGTTGGAGGGGGGGTGGGGGGTGGTATACATATACATTAGTGATGGGTAGATGAGGCCTCGTGAAGCGTTTCAGCACATTCCCCAAACTGTATTGATACTGTGTCGACATAGTGTTGTTGTTTTGCTCCATACTGACACCTGCTGGACCTTAAATATCATTGCAGGCAACTTACTTGAGACTGACAACAGACACTGATTCAATGACCTAGTCATACTTGTATACACTGTAAGGTATTGTACTTTTCATGGAATCATTTTATGTCTTTTACATTTCAAATATTGTAGACATCTTTAAAATATATTGTGAGTGAAAGTATTGTGAATGTAATATTACCCATTTAAATATAATTGACTCAGAGTTTATTATAAATTTCTATTCAGAAAAATAAGTTTATCCAATGTTTTTGCATTCAGTCTTTTTTTTTGACACCATTTCCCCAGCTTTGGAAAACACACACTCACAGGGCACAGATGAAGCTGGGGTATACAAAAACTGTAAAGCCAGGTGGAAAAGGTTCGAATAAGATGTCTTCCTATTCCCCCAGTACGTTAAAGGATCCTCTGATCTTGGAATGTTTCTCTCCGCCAAGTAGCGCTTTTGTTTGTGTAAGGAAGCTTCGCAGAACAGATGTGACATTTAACCTGCATAAAATGAAATAAATAATTTACACTGCAAGTCACATTGCTTTTTTTCCTATTCTGATAGATTACACTGAAACAAAGACAGATAAACAGTTGCACAATTATACAGTGAATTCGCGTTTATTATTATATTTACAAAATATCACAGTTTTTGTCTTGGTCGTATCATTTTATTTTGTTGTATTTATCCGCGACACCTTAAAGGCCGGTCCGTAAAAATATTTTCTGACATTAAACCGGTCTGTGACGCAAAAAAGGTTGGGATCACTGTATTACAGAATCACAGAGTTGTTAGTTTGTTTTGCTGTGACACTTATCCTCAGATATCCTCAGATCTGAACAGACTAATGAGTACCGGGAACGCTGAATTTCCTGGCGGAACCCACCGGAGGGTTTATTAATTTTTATCTAATCTAATCTAATCAATGAACCTCGTGACGCTTCTTTCAACCACATTAAGGATGTCGCAAACTCATTTCTCTCAAACAAACCATTTTCTGAGCTGGTAGGAAAAACTTTTTCTGTTTGTTGATGTGAAAGTTTGCTTTGATTCTGTGCAGAAGAGACAGACTCCAAAAAAAAGCTGATAAATGAAATATAATATACTATGTAAACTTAAATGTTTCATTGCGAGATTCTGTCTGTGGTGTTTGTCTCTTATACAGGTACAATGATGACAACATGTGGCCTGCTAACTGCCCAGAAGGAGCCAGGTAAAAATCTGATAAACATTAAAATGAATTTTCTCTTTATCATCAAAAATTAGTAGAGTTACATGGACAGATTACTCGGCAGGAGAACAATCTAATTTTGACTTTAAAAAATAAATGCTACTATGAAGTGTGACTGCTGGAATTATGCTTGTCTGTCAGTTCCTCTGAAGAGCATTGAGGTGGAGCTGGAGGTGAGGGACCATGTGGCTACAGTGGTCTCCACTCTGAACTATAAGAATAAGGAGAACAAACCATTAGAGGCTGTTTTTGTCTTCCCTCTGCCTGGAGATGCTGCTGTCTGTCATTTCAGTGCTAAGATCGGACAGACACAGATTGTAGCTGAGGTGAAGGAGAAACAGAAGGTGAGCTGGAGAGAAAATATAACCTGATTATTGTTATTTTTAATCTTACTTATAAACACAGTGAATGTCACTGACACGTGTCACCTGTCCTTCAGGCTCGTGAGGATTATGATGATGCTCTGAGCTCCGGTCAGCAGGCCTTCCTATTGGAGGAGAGTGATCAGAGTCCAGATATATTCTCTCTGAGTGTGGGCAGTCTGCCTCCAAGAGAGAGCGCCTACATCAGGTTGGAGTACGTGACTGAGCTGTCTGTGCAGGCTGATGATGGTCTGAGGTTCTGTCTGCCTGCTGTGCTCAACCCTCGATACCAGCCTCAGGGTAGGAAAAAACGTTGACACTAACAGAAAGCCTCAAACTCACACCTCTGCATAGAAAAAGGTTTCATAACTGCAACTATGGTGGTGGAGAAATTTCCAACCTCTTTCTCTCTCTCCGTCTCTCTTCCTCCATAAATAAAATATTTTTGAATTTGTTATGTACACATAAAAGATAAACTTGAAAAGAATTAAGTGTAACATGGAAACATAAACAGTGAAAGCAACTGTCTTTCTCAACACTTTATTTTCAAGTCCAGAATCTATAACATGATTAGCGGATGGACTTTGGGGTTATGGAGTATCTGTGCTGTGTTAGGCTATGTCATTTTTCTCTCTCATTCTGCATTTATTCTGTCTTTCAAGCATACAAAATTATTTGATTACCCTTCCACCATTACTTTAACTGCAGTTTCTTTGCTCTTTGTGTCATTTCTAGCCTGAATTTATACACAGGGGTTACTGTGGCTCCTCTGAAAGAGAACACCTCAAATCAGAAGTACTTGACTCCCTGGTATAACTTGAAAAGGTGCACCTTAAAGCAGATAAAGTAAGCTAGAAAGGAAACAGTGTTTCACTAATTTAGAAGATCAGTTAGCTTAAAAAATAGTTTTTTGCTTTATAAAAAAGCCTTCAGTAAAGCTAGAAGGTTACTATTCATCACTGATTGAAGGAAATAAGAGCAACCCTAGGTTTCTCTGCAGCATTTTATTCATTTTATTCTATTATATTGTCTACAATTGTGTACAGTATCTTATTCTTATCCTTTCCCAGTGTTTTTCTAATTTTTACTATGTAACTTTGCACTGTCCACTTTCTGCTGTAACAAAACAAATTTCCCACGAGTTGGACTAATAAAGGTTATCTTATCGTATCTTATCTTAGCACTGTAGTCAAGCTGACAAAAAGTCAGAGCTCTGCTGAGCCAACCATTCCTTTAACGTTAAATAGTAATGAATTCATGAATGTCTTCACAAATACAATTTTAACTACTAGAGGAAAAAAATACTCATAATCATCTCACTGACTTAACAATGTGTAGAGTTACTTTCAGTACCATTGGTATTTATTTAATCTTTTTCTTCAATTGATCTTTCTGAGTTAACTTCAGTAATTACTTCATTACTTCCTCCAAATGATCAACATGTCTCATAGACCCCATTCCTACAAGACTGTTCAAAGAAACTCTGCCAATAATTAATATTTCATTCTTAAATATGATCAACCTATTTCTATCAAGCGGCTATGTACCACAGGTCTTCAGACTGGCAGTAGTTCAACTGTTACTGTCAAGTTAGTGGCCATCCAAGTCTTTATGTCTTAAAGACATAAAGACTTGGATGGCCACTAACTTTCTGCTTCTTAATTCAGATCAAACTGAGGTTATTGTACTCTGCCCTGCAGATGACACCCAGCTCTATCTGTCCATGAAGCCAGATAACACACACCAATTAGTTAAACTGCAGGAATGTCTTAAAGA